GTGTTCAAAGATGCTGACACATTAAAAAGGTCATGTGCATGACGTATTATAATGAAAAAGAGAGCAGCTGGCATACAATAGCTCGCGGAGCGATGAAAAAAACGGTTTTAGAGGATCATACATATAGAGATATATATATCTATAACTTCGTCAAAAAAATAGATATTGAGATGATTTTTTTTTAAATAATTCTAAGGTTTTTTTAACTTTCATAATATCAAAAAATCTCTAAATCGAAAAAAAAACAAAACCGAACAACCCCCTTAAAAGATGTGGTGATGCACATTTCCTAACCCAATGTTTTCTATATGGAAAAATTTTGTGACAAGGATATGTTATGAAGAACTTTCCATACTAAATATTGACAAAAGCCATGTGGCACGAATGTCAAAAAAACGATCTTAGATAACAGGGTCTTTCTGACGCAGCTTCATAATATACCAGTGACGTTGCAGTTTATGTGCAAAACGACTGAGCGTACAGCAAATACATGACATTTTGACAGTATTCAGTATGATTCTGTAGCAAAATGTATGGCAGTTGGAGCGAAACATGGCCTTGCAATAATATTTTTCTGTTATGCGACAGAATCGGCCCGATATTGTGTATTTATATATTTGCGTTAAAGAAAGACTATTTTCACTTATCATATTCAAGATCTAGAATCTCAGTTTAAAACCTGATGTCACTACTGCTTGATATTAAGCTGGTAATTAAACACGGAACAAGTGGTCGCTAATTCTTATCCATACCACCTGGACATAGCCGGCTATATATCCGTAAATATAAATTAAAAACTTTCTTGGATCTAGAACCAGTTCCACTTTAATAGTCAGTTTCGAGAAACAACGTCTGGTGAGAGCCAGTTCCGCAATAGCTCTAAAATTTGGTAGTTTAATATATTTCGTGATGCACTTCCCAGGACAATCTCAGCAAATTCATCACTTCGTCAACTGGAATTGTTCATCAAACTAAGCGATCATCAAACTTGACGATACACTGTTTTCAACTACGATTATGTAACGCGATACCAGATTCTCGGCTGCAACAATGTTTGTTGTACATAGACAGTTGATAATTCGTATATATAAAAGCGAGCTATTAAAATATACAATAGTCAGTTGTTCTAGTAGAAAGACGAGAATAAAGCTCTATTTTGAAACAAGAACTGCGAAGACTGTGTTAAATCTCGAGTAACGCTCTTTCTAAAATAATATCTCGTGTGTCGCAGTGTAAGGGTTAGTGAACAATCTGAAATAGAATTTTGATTCAAAATATTAAACTAAAAGTTGACCAGTTTTTTGTTTTGTATTGACAATTTTAAAAATACATTATATGTCGTTTAAAATCGCGTAAACGACTTCGAAACCTTGCCCAGAATATTTTTTAAGGTTTCATACCAAGTATATTTTAACATTGCTTCTGATATCCTGAACAAAGGCTTATTTTATTTATTTATTCATTCATAATCAATCTGTATGCACTAATAATAAATATTATTTTAGAATCCTGTAAGAACAATTTTTTTTTATTCCAATATTTTTTGCATTTGGTCGTGGATTTATACGATACTTCATCAACACAATTTTTTGAAAAAACTTGTTTAAAAAATATATATATGTTAATTAGTATAATGCTACTTCCAATGCATATTTATTAAATAATAAAGAATTTATTGAATTGAAATTGAACTCGAAAATCAAAAACATTTCTAATAACCAGAGTTTTCTACTTTTATTATTTTATTCCTAATTGTTATCACAGTGAACTTTAGGGTCTAATAAACATCAAATTTTAATCGAATCTATTTTAATAAAGGTCTAAGAATATATAAAAGATCATAAATCTGGGCAAGTTTCTAGGTCACGTGTTTGTTAAAATCTAAACCTCCTTCACTTGGTATCCCTAGACTTTGTTTTTTTATTATAACTACTAAATATTTTAAATTCGTTCGCGTTCTAATTTATATATTTAAAAAAAACAATTGAAACAAATCAGCATATTCATAGCGTTGAAAATAACCAGAAACGTGATTTTTTTACGTAAAAAAAAACTCGAAATCAAAAAAAAACTCATCTATATAACAAGGTATCAAATGAAATGAAGTCAACCACAGATTTTAAATTCAAAATTAAAGTAAAAAGCATATTAGAGATGAAAATCAGAAATAAAAATAAATTTAGTTTATACGTTAACTTGCTGAATTTTTTAAGGATTTGGTCTTTTGAGTCTTCTGGGGAGATGTTGGAAAAAATGCTTTGGCAAGTTGCTTTGGATGTTTTTCCTGTCTAGTCTTGTCGTAGATGCGAGTTTTTTGATATTCAAATTGGAGTCTTAGTGGATAAAGGACATATTTGGAAGCCTCTAATATTTATTTAAGAACTTTATTCCAAAACCAAAAATAAAAACACAAGCAAGTTTGATGAGAAACGCAACTTATCTAAACAACAAGGTATCAAATGAAATAAAATCAACCACAGATTTACCTGAATTCAAAATTAAAGTTAAAAACTTATTAGAGGTGAACAAAAACTATTACAAATTAGAGATGAAGATACAGAAAAACAATGAATCTAGATTACAACCTGGTGATTCCAAAGGGTCTGTTTGCCTGAAAATGAGTATTCTGGAGATGTTTGAAGTCAGCAGATTTTTGGCAAGTTAGTTTGAAAGATTTTCCACTCTAATTTTGTACTTGGATGCAAGTCTTGATTTCTTCTGTCACCGTATACAAATTGGAGTCTTAGTGGAAAAGGAAATTAAGGACATATTTGAATGCTTCTAATATTTTTTAAGAATTTTATTTTGTGACTTTTGCAAAATGATTATATTGGTTTAACCTTAGAGATTAACAAAATTAATTTTATTCTTATGTTAGAGAGATAAGAGAGTCCACTATTGGTAAGTGGCTAGAGCGACAGGACCTGAATCAGAGGTCCCAGGGTTGATCTCGCTTCGAGAACCCTGATGTCATGCAGTAGTGCCATTGATGGTTATATAGTTAGCAACATGTTTCCAAGTAAAAAATAGTCATGATCTAGCATTGCTGCATTAATAAAATATTCGCCCAATTACAGAAATTGTAATAATAAAATTCATCACACGATATGAGACAACTGTTATGATTGCCATCTATGGAACCGAGTAGTCTAATTAGCACTAGAGGACTTAAGTTCTGATTGCTGTTCAAAATATGTAAAATTCATTGTGATCTTTCACACCAGACAATGTGTCTGACCTAGGTAAACAAATATTCTAATATAGTAACCATTTATACAGCAATTGACCGTACACCTAGGCTTTTCTAATTAACTTGCTCTGTCTCCTCAAAAAATTGTCAAACATATCTTTTGTCTTGTTTTATAACGGTTGGTTAACTTCGTTCGAAAGCTTTAAATTTCAAGACATTAGAGTGCATATAATAGAATGCAGGCGCCTAGACCCGCATTTACTCCATTCGCTAGTCAAACAGATCGAAATCGTCTGACGCGGGAGCATTCATACATGCTTTATTAGAGTTGCAGGGCTATCAAATCCTAGTCTCGGGCTTGATCCTAACGTTGTATGAAAGCAGCTTGATACCATCATAGATTTCAAATATAATCTAAGTGGCCTTTCGTGGGCATTGCTGCAGCATTCGTATATGCAGCGCGGGCATAGCTGTAGTAGCAACATGCCTCTTTCAAGTAAATGGTACTCAGATTGAATCGAAAAGAAAAACTAGTGGGGCGCATGGCATCGTGCCTTAAGGCAAATTGCTGAAACTTCCCCTACCAAAAATTATTTTTTTAAAAAAAGATTAACAGTTTTGAAAAAAAAAATACCCTGAAAAAATTAGATATTTGACAAAAATTTACTTTTTTTTGAAAAAAAAAGAGACTTATGAAAAAAAAATATATTTTGAAATATTTTAAAAATTTGAACTTTTTTTCAAAGCAATCGTACTGGTCTAACTGATAAACATTGGTACGGAACCCTTAGGAATGTAAACAAAATTTATACTTATTGTTCAAATCTCTATAAAATATCAGATAATTTGATATGCATATGTCTAATGATCATTTTTGACCGCCAAATGTATTTTTTTTTTACTTTTTTTTACTAGATCTCCGAAACCGCTAGACCTGCCTTCATGAAAATTTGATCAACTTCTTCATCTTGTCAATACAAGTAAAATGTTGTAAGAACGGACGCTCCGTTCTCTTAAAAATTGAGTTACCGTTTCTGGCACTTTTTGCCCCGTATCTTCGAAACAGCTAGGCCTGCTTATGCCAAAAGCTAATCAGCACGTCTCCTTATCAACAGCAATCGAATGTTTTTTTGAATAATTGAAATTGATTGAACCGTGCTCCCCGACACACACACATAGACACACACATACATCCATTTTTTCTAAGGTATGCCAAAATGTTCAGAAACCTCTGAAAAGTAAAGATATATAAAAATTTTCATTTTCGATTTTTTGCGATTACTATAACTTACCCTACGGGAATTTAATAAGATGACAATATCTTGCGGCTTAGTTCTCTAGAACCAATATTTATCCCGGATTTAGGCTTTTCATCCTGCATTCTCCCAAATTTTGAAAAAAGTTCCAATTTTCAGTATTTTTTCCAATTATTTTCCAACTAGAGTTAATTTGTATAAAATTTCAAAAGATTTACTTAATCGCTACATACTACTTGATTACTAAAGTGTTCCAAAATTGTGAATTAAAATAAAATTACCATATGTCCCAGAGTTCTAATTCGCGGTCAGTCTAGAACCCATATATGTTCAGATTAAGATACTATTTCAGGATTGCCCCAAAATTTTTATTTTCAGTGTTTGTCTCAAATATATTGGGTTTATTTATTGATAGTATATATTAGTAATCAAAATAATACATTTTTATAAGCTATAAGCTATTCTGATACGATTAAAATAATACTAATATTATTTTAATTTGTTTCTTAATTTTTTTTATATATAAAATTTAAAATCTAATTTTATTAACTTACTTGCAACTTCGTATATTGATGCATCAATGTCATCTCCCACAGGAGTATCAGTACTGACAAATTCCCACAGTTCTGACACATTTTTCACTTCATTCAATTGCATAATCAATTCTATGGGTATCTGAAATTAAAAAACAATTGTAGGTAAATGATAATTTAGTCTAATTGACTTAGATATAAATTTTAGAAGCAGGGTCATTTTTTTAGTTTCTGGGATGCTTTATCACTTTTAAGGCTTGAAAAATTTAGTTGGACAGTTGATTTCAAATATTATATGCCGATAAAAGCATAAAAACTACGTGAACAACTGAATTTGTGGATGTATGTTTATAAAATAACACCGTAAAATTTATCCAATTATTATTTTCACTGTGAGAGTAGCGAACAACACTTGTGTTCAATTGCGCAACATTGTTATTTGTTCAACGCGATTGTTCTGGCATATATAGATTCTTTGTCTTGGTTAGCACATGCTTTTTTTTACAATAGTACTACACATACAAAATAATAAGCGAATTACACGATAAAATAGCTCCTGGAGAGGAAGATGTAGTGGTAAATCTGACATAGATTAATATGAAAACATATTTTTCAAAAATTTTACTTTCTGTACACGTTTAAGTCTAGTTAATAAATATTTTCAGAAAAAATATTTTGTCTCCAATATATGAATGTATAGATGTTTGTATATATGATTCAGATCATCTGGTTAAAATACTAAGTCCTAAAATTTGACCCTAGCAAAATTGTGACCCCATAAAACAAAATTTTTATTCTAAATAATGTAAGAAACTATGAACAGCTGCGTTATAATTTTAATTACTTAATTTATTGTTTATGTTCTCAGAAACAATATGCATATTTTATTAAATACTCGTATTTGTTTTCAAGAATCGTTGATATTATAATTAGCATGAATACCCTGGGGAATGCCTTTATCATCCACGTAGAATTGAAAATACCCATGTGAATTACATATTAAATTCAGGTTTCACATTAATTGAATAAAAATAAAACAGATAAAGATTTAAAGTTATATTGAGAATGAGAAATTTCTTTGTCGAATATTAGTTGATTAACGACAAATATAGCTGTCCTTCTCACTTTACCTAATTAAATGTAGTATGTAAATTTGAATCGATTATATTTTAAATGACTATAATTGATAATCTATAAAAAATCCCACAAGATGCGGTACAGAAATTTAATTGCATGATCAGTATGAATAATACATAAAAATATTTTTATACGATTGCACCTTATAAATGTAATTTTTTACATCATTTTACCAATGTTACAAAAAAAATGTAAATGATTGAATGAAACTTCTAAATGGTTACACATTATGTATCAAGCCTTCTGGATGTTAATAAATTAAATCAAATTGTACAGTTTATAAAATAAAATTAAAATAATTAATTATAAATAGAATTATGAATTATAAATAGAATTATGAATTATAAATAGCAAATTAAAAGAAAAATATTCACAATTGAAAAAAATTGTGAAAGAATGTCTAGCCAACAGTATTGAGATGGGTTTTTAGTCTACTGTTACAAAGAAATTTTAATGAAAATAAAAATGTTTTACCATTACCAAAAACTGACTCATTTACCGGTTTTTCTTCTAGCTTTCAATTTTACTTTCATATCTAAAATATTCTGTCGATTAACAGTTAAACTCTGTTAAATTCTTTATGACCGTTGTCCAAGTAGAAATCCAGTTATTGCATTTAGATAACACATTTCGGAGAGTGGAACTCCGCAAGCGATGATCATATGTGCATTTCTACATTTCAACTGCATCGAAAAACAGATTTAAAAAAATGGGTTTTATGTAGAATATCGAATGTCATTTTTTTAATTTTTTTTTAAACTGTCAGCTTTTTAATTTAGCCTTTGCTTCATTTCTTTTTATCAGATTCGTATATATATATACTCTTGAATTCAATAAAAATAAATTATATTTTTCATCATATTGTTGGAAAAATGTCAATAGAGAAAGCTTAATAGAGAATTATAAAACTGTATTAAAATCTCTTACTCAAAAATGCCATGACAGTTATATTATTTTGTTTTTTACATTAAACGCAACTACCAACTTGTAGCCATCTTGTGGCCAAGTCGTAGCCATCTTGTGGCCAAGTCGTAGCCATCTTGTGGCCAAGTCGTAGCCATCTTGTGGCCAAGTCGTAGCCATCTTGTCGCCAAGTCGTGTTGCCACATTACTCCCTGTTCAGTGTTGGGACAAACCTATTCAAAGTTGGTAGAAAACTTGGGTAGTGATCTGGGAAGGTAACAAGCGGCGACATTTTGGAAAAACTAGTTAGTGAGCTGACCTTTAAAAAAATCAGATGTTTTTTGTCAAATCATTTTTTTATACCACTATTAATCTAAAGAATTATTAAATATTAGTAAGTTCACAACAGACGAGTTATAAAGTTCGCTCATTTTAATTAACTATTGAAAGTTACAAAAAAATGAATTATCTATCACAGTAGATTAGTTTAAAATAACTAAAAATCGTTTATAATGTAATAACTTTAGTAAGCTACTCAATTTCTGCGTATGATATTACTTCTCTTGATTTTATTTTATCAGTATATTGCGAATTCTTTTCGAATATCCAAAGAAGATGAGAAGCGTGGCGATTTGTTCGGCTTCATGCGACCTCCTTGGCATTCTGCAGAATTTCATTTCAGCTGAAAATTTATTGGCAAGCCCCGGGGTCTGCTTTGTGCCTTAGAGCGCTTTAAAATACTTTAAATCGGTGCATAGTTTGCGTCTGAATTTATACCTTAGAGTTGGAGATACACTAATAAACAAATATAAGCTTGTTCGAGAAGTAATTTATTTTGCTTTTCCAATTGTATGTTTTGCATCTGAATTCGCATTTTAGCCGTATAAGGCTTGTATTTCTTGAGACCTGATATTTAGAGGATAGTGTGTTAAAAATCACTTTTTTATATAATGCACCTATTCCATATGGAACTGATTGAATCAGCAAGTTTTTGTCAGTACTTAGAATTTTTTAAATTGAATATCAATACTAAATTGCTCCTTAAGTTTTCATCTACTACCAAAAGGTTGTTGAGGATATATATATTTTTTTTTTAATTTTATTTGTCTATAAAAATATAAGTTAGCACAAAAATATAATAATAACAAATTGCACACTTAATCAATCGATATCAATACAATCATACAGGAATTAGCAAATATATACCATTTAAAATAATGGAAAATTTTCATAACATAAAACCATAAATATATGTTCAGGACACAGTGTATAATGCGAACATGTCATTGGACATCAGTAATTGTTCTATGCTTGTTTTTCTACCTTTTTTGTAATATATCTAATAGTACGAAAAAACAGTAATAGATAATTTAGATTACATTAGAACTAATGAAAGTTCAGACATTAAGATTTTGGTTTAAAAAAGTACAAATAAACAAAATAATAATTACTTCTACGAATGTTTCTTTTATTATTTTTTATATATACAGTAAACAAAACAATATCAATTTTGTTTATATCAAGATAAATGTATTCACAAACGTGTTCCTTTAATAGTTTTTATAATCGTAATAATATATGCACATAAAACAAACATTCAATCGCCATTAAATCATCAATTACTGCGATGACTTTGCTATAAAAACCAGAAAATACCTGTATTACGCATATTTACGAGTATGAATTTTATCTGTACTTCACATTTTATATAGAGAGATACCTTATCGAAAAAAAAGTTCTTCGAAAAAATATTTTTAGTTAATAGTCACTAATGATAAATTCGATCTATATTGATAATTTTCTAGATTGAACTGTGTAGTTGAATATTTCTGTGAATTTGATAGAAATAGGCACTGTAAAATGATAAATAAATGGTAAATAAAAATTTAGTTCGTTAACCTTACTCAGACAAATGATGATAATAAGTAGTAGTCTGTCTGAAGGCAGGTCCATGTGGCGAGGGCACCACAAATTGATGATTGCCTTCTGCTTGCTTGTATATTATTTCCATGACTATTTTATTACCAGTATTCACTTTTTTATTAATTTTTATACATTTTCCTTTCTTAACTTTTGCTTCCATCAGTTCCCTGTATTTTCTATTCTTTGGTAAGTCATCAATCATCTGCTTTTTTTTTCTTCTCTCTGTAGAAAGCTCTCCTGTTAGAGAATGAATCCGATCCAGTTTCCTTTTCTTGTAATGATCATGCCCAGTACAGTTCCTGCGTTGTTCTTTCTTCCCAGCACCTCTTCAATGGTTATCTGGAGTGTCCACTTCATCTTTACCATTCGCCTCCAGATTTTTGTCGGCCTTAGAGTCCGCATCTCTGATCCGTACAGTGCTATGCTTCAAACATAATACTTCTAATGCGTAATTCAGATGTTTAACTTCATCAAACTGATACTTATTCAATAAATTTACTTTCACCATTGCACCTCATATTTGTAAATTTTTGGATTAATAAATTATTAAATAAAAATTACCATAACATTTCTATTTTATCAGAGAATTGACCCTAACTCTCGATAGACCTTCTCTTCTATAGTCTGACATACATTACAATTGGAATTTTGGCACTAACTGGAATTGTTTTTATTATTAGATATATTTCCTTTATTACCAAGCTTATAGAAACCAGTATATATTTCTGATTACCAAAATAGGAGATTTATGATTAAAAAAACTTTTAGAAATGTAGCGTCGATAATGAAAATGTTCTTCGCCCCATGCGCAAGGCCGCAGGCGTCAAGGTCGATGCTTGACTCCAGATTTGTCTTAAAATGTGTTTTCCTGACCGCAACTTTGACAAATGCAAAAAATCTCCTTATGCATATTAAAAAGTGTTATCGAACGAAAGCGCCATTTAATGTAAATTCTACGATCGCACAAGAATGCACGTAATTCATGAGTCAACAGCTAAAATCTTGTTGACTAACCGAATCGATATTCCGGATGATAATGTGTTCCTGGAATTAATTTCTCTGTATAATTTTATCTGATTAATCAGAGAAATTCAAAATTCCAATGTAGCAAAGTTCAACCTATTATTAAAATCGCAAATTGTATGTATGGATGCTAATAAGACATAATTGTATAGGTAT